ACCACTGTGCTTAAAAGAAAAAAAAAATTGGAAAATTCCAGCTGTTCATGGGTGATTCTTGGGTGCTGAGCACCCCTTGAGCTCAGTCTGATTCTCTCAAAAGGAAATGCAAAAACTGGTACTTAAAGAATAAAAAAATGGAAAATTCTGGCTGTCCTTGAGTGATTTGCCCCATGAGGTCACAGCACCCACTGAACTTGGCCTGTGCCTCCCAAAGGAAATGCAAACACTGCTCTTAAAAGAATAAAAATGGAAAATTCTGGCATTCCTGTTATTTCTCCCATGAGGTCGCAGAGCACCTGAGCTCAGGCTGAGCCCCCAAAAGGAAATGTAACAACTGCTATTTAAAGAATTTAAAAAAAGGAAAATTCCAGCAGTTCTTGAATGATTTTTGGGTGCTGAGCACCCCTTGAGCTCAGTCTGATTCTCTCAAAAGGAAATGCAACAACTGCTATTTAAAGAATAAAAAAAAAGGAAAATTCAGGCAGTCCTTGGGTGATTTGCCCCGTGAGGTCACAGCTCCCTTTGAGCTCAGGCTGAGCCCCCAGGACCTCCATTTCAAAGCTGAGTTACAGAACTGGAACCTCACCCTGAACATTCTCTGGAGATGGAAACTGCTCTGGTTTTCCCTCTTTGCTCCTGGTTCCAAACAGCACCGTGATGTTCCATAAATTAACAATAAACCCAGCACGCCAACATTCCCCTTCAAACGAGGCCCAGAAGAAGGGCAGCAGCATCCCACCAACCCTCCCTACATTTAATTCCTTTATCCATTTATCCCATTCCTTTATCCCTTATTCCTTTTATCTCTTCCAGGAGGGGAAGGAGCAGAATTCCAGGCGGTTCCAAAGGTGTGAACACAAGTGAGAACCGGCCCCGTTTTCGCTCCTGGTGGAAAACCCGGTGGAGCTGTCACCACGAACAGGTGGCTGCTCATCCACGGGCTGCGGCCAGACATGAAGGAGAGGTGTAAAAAGGCACCTCCCAGCACTCAGTTTGTGCTCAAAAGCTGCTCACCTGTCTGCCCTGTGTTTGTTTTGTCCCTGCCAGCCTGGCAGAGGGGACAGCAGTGACTTTCCAGGAGCCAGGAATATTTTCTTTCTCTCCACAGAACCTTCCCGGCTGTTCTTTCGCTGTGATATGCGTGAAATTCAGAATATCATAGCTGGCTCGGGGAGAAATCCCTTTTCACATCTTTTTGCAGCTCCCAGATCCCCAGCAAAGGGACAAATAAATGGGAAAGGGAGAGGGAGGGAGACGCACAAAGCAAATCCCAGGCGGAGGGAGTGGCGCTACGTGGCCAAAGCCAAAAAAAAATCCAAAATCCAAAATGAGGAGCGTCCAGCGATTTCAGCAAACCCTGCCAAGAGACTCCACCAGGCCAGGTGTCGGTGTTTGTGGTCCCACTGCTGCCAAAGCTGCTCCCATTCCCRGCCAGGCCACCTTTGGCTCCCTCTCCCCAGCACTGGGAATCGTTCCCGGAGCGGGRAATTGGGAAAAGCCGCCCCACAAAGCTCAGAGCACCTGCCCTACTCCAAGGGGGCTCACCTGGGGGGCTCTGCAATGCTCAAATCCTCGTGGAATTCAAAATAAACCCCATCCCTGGAGCTGCTGTGGAGATCAGGACCTGCGGGAATGACTCAGCACGGAATTCCAAGGCCAGTTCTGCCGTGGAAAAATGAGTGGTTTGTGGATGAGATGAGCTGGATGCTTCCACACCCAAAACAGTCCCTGTGAAGGCTCCAAGTGTGCTCACCTGACCTCCAAAAAGATCCATTTTCACCTGAGTACCACCGGAAGCATCTGCTGCTCCCTCTGAAGGCTCCTTGACCTCCAAAAAGATCCATTTTCACCTGAATATCACCAGCAGCACCTGTGAAGGCTCCAGGTGTGCTCACCTGACCTCCAAAAACACCCATTGTGACCCCAGCACCACCAGCAGCACCTGCTGATCCCTTGAAGGTTCCAAACATCCAAAACCACTCACTGTCACCCCAGTACCACCAGGAGCATCTGCTGGACCCTGTGGAGGTTCCTTGACCTTCAAAAACATCCATTGCAACCCCAGCACCACCAGGAGCATCTGTTCATCCCTTTGAAGGATCCACATGTGCTCACCTGACCTGCAAAAACACCCATTTTCACCTGAGTACCACCAGGAGCATCTTCTGATCCCTTTGAAGGTTCCAAACCTCCAAAAATACCCATTGTCACCCCAGCACCACCAGGAGTATCTGCTGGTCCCTGTGAAGGCTCCAGGTGTGCTCACCTGACCTCCAAAAACCCCCACTGTGCCCCCAGTACCACCAGTATCATCTTCTCAGTCACCTCTGCCCTTTCCCAGTCCAAACGGAGCGGGTCCATCCCCTTTTTCCCAAAACCGCCCCATTTTTGGACTCTCAGCCTCCCCCGGGCATGTGAGAGCAGACAATGCCCTGGGAAAATGTTGCTAAAWAAAGTAAAATCCATCAAGTGCTGAGCAGTGAGTCCTGGAGACTGCCTGCCCTGCCTCAGGTATCCAGGCCATCCTCTCCCCTCTGAGGGCTCCTTTTTTTTTTGGGAAAAGCCTCGGGAATGAGCCAGGCAGCCCCCAGGGGAGGATGGGGGGATGAGCCTGAGCTGCATCACACCTGCACCAAATAACAGCTTTCCACAAGTGTGGGTAAATTAGGAAATAAAGAGAGGTTCCATTTCCTTTTTTTTTTTTTCGCCAGACACAAACCCTTTCCACTGCTGAAGACTCCACAAGAGGGTTTTTTTTTTTTTTTTCACCATTTTTAAGTGCTGTACACTGAATATCTCTCCTTTTACAAGTGGAACCTTGTAGCTATGGAGACGCAGAATGTCAAATCCAAGCTGAAGACAGGATTTTCAGCGGGGGCTTTGGGCTGCTACATGTGCCTTCAATGATCTGCTTTCCATCTCCTGAAGTCTTCATTATTCCCCGTTATTTATTAGTGCCTAATAGCGTGCGAGGAGCTGCTGGACAGTCAATAATCACACACAAAAGCAGAGGAACCCRTCAGGCACAGCCCTGGGGTGTCCTGCACGCTCTGATTTACACCCAGGGATGCCACAAAACCCTCCCCCGAGCCCTGCAAAGTTGCCATGGGCTTAATTTAATAAATAAAACTGATTAAAATAAAACCAATTGAAATAAAAACAATTGAAATTAAACCCATTGAAATAAAACCAAAAATAAAAACCAAATGAAACCATTCAGGTGCTGCTGGAGCCCAGGTGAGCTGGGGTATTTGATGCCATGTGTGCCACCCCGCAGCCACCCGGGGTTGTCACACCCCCCTGACCTCGTGTCACCACACACCTGGGAGGACCCTTCAGCCTTGTAATTCCCTGCCACAACCCAAATYATCCAAATTCCAGCCTCCCAAACATCATCCCTCTCTTTCACGATCCCAAATGCATCAGGGATGGATGGTGCTGTCATTACCTGGATGTTCATTTGGGGCATTCCCATTCATCTCTCTGTTTTACCACCACGGAGGAAAGGAAACAACATTTTATTTGGGCTAATGGGACTCCAGTGCTGAGCTAAACCCGAGCGTGGAGGGGACAGAGCCTTCCAGGCCAAATTCATGCTCCTTGTGACAGCCAGGGAAAATACAAAACAGCTTCAGCATCGCTTATTTTACACCCTTAATGGTGAGAGTGAAAAAACCCAACCCCAAACCTTCGTTGTGTATTTCCTGGAGCGATGGCGGGGCCGTGGCAGGGTGGGATTCTGTTTTGGGGRCAGAGAAAGCTCCAGAGAAAACAATCCCAAACCATCGAGGTTTTCTTCCTTCCCCTCAACTCCACAGTCYAAAACCAGCTGGAGGATTTCAGGTGCCAAAAGTGAAACCTCTCGAAGGCTCCCCCATGGTTAGAGAGGGAAAACAGCGGGGTTTTTAAACAATCCGGACCCCAGAACTGCAGATCCCACACTGCTCCTCTTCACCGCACCTGCCACAGCACCTCAGAGATCCCACAGCCAATCCCAACCTCCAAAAATGGGTGGGAATGAACTCCAATGGGCACATGAAATACTCCCAGGTAGAACATCCACAACCGGGGCGGCAAAATCCACYGGGGTCCAACGACACATCCCGAGTGGGGTTAAATAACCAGAATCGCAATGAAATTGTGCAAATCCTCCTTTGCCAGCCCTAAAGGAGCAGCAGCATTCCAAGCAAACCCATCCCCTGCATCCATCATGGAACAGGAGAGCACCAGAACCATTTGGAATTCCCGTGCAGAGCTGGGCAGTGGAAGAGAAGCGCTGAGAGCTTTTCCTGGTTGCGTTTCCCCCGTGTTGCTGAGTCAAATCCCGACACGGCMCGAAGGTTGTGGAAATCGACTCCGGGAGAGCTGTGTAAGCCTCCACTGATCGTTAAAAGGAAATTAAACCCTCCAAGAAGCCCCTTCTGCCAAACCAGATATTTGCAAATGTGCTGTTTGGCCAAGGCTCACGTTCGGAGGAGCCTCCGTGTTCCTGCTGCTCCAGGAAAACAGCTCCAGGATCCTGCTGCAGTCCTGCTGTCCCCTGGTTTGCTCCTGAACCAGGCCAAAAATGCAGGAAATCTTTGGCATTATCATTAAGCAGGCCATAAACGCCTCAAGATTTGATGTGGGGTCTGGAGGAAGGAGGTTTCCATATTTAGTTTTAAACCAGAAAAGGCTCTTAAGCTCCTCTGTATCTACCAATCCGTTAAAAATAGGATTCTCTTGCAGCCACAGCTCATCAAACGGGTGCAAACACGAGGAGAACAACACTCCAGATGCCTTTATCACAGTTGTTGACTCCGGCTTAATCTCTTTTTTAATAAGTCTTAATTATTCAAAATAATCACCATCCCTTCCCTGCCTGTTGTCATTTAACACGAGAAAACCTTCAACAGAGCAAACCCCGAAGCAGGAAAAAAAAACAACAACAGCCACAAAAAAAAAAAAAAAAAAAGAAATCTCATTCATCTTTCTAATATTTAGAGATAACCTCAAGAGCTTCGAACATTTACCTCTCCTTCCCAGCAGCTGAAATGGTTTTAGGAGGATCATGGTTCATACCTCGCATTCCCTGGAGCCAGAGATGGTGTAGGTGCAGGGCCCCGATCCGTTAACGGATACATCCATGGTCTCAGAGTTTGTTGGCTTGTAGTCCACGTAATATTCCTGCAAAGGGGAGTTCATTTGCCTCTCCGACTCCCGGGCCTTTTTCCTGCGYCTCTTCATGAGCGTGTGCTGCTGCAGCTGCTTCATGCTGGCCGGGTAACGCTTCCAGGACACGTAGATGACCAACAGGATCATGGCCACGGACAGGAAGAGCGCCACGCTCCCCGCGATGATCTTGTGGAAGGACACGTGCTCGTATTCCGGCTCCACCGCCGGCGTCGGGATGTCGGCGGAAGGGCTCGGCGCGGCCGAGGTGGGCTGGTGGCCTTCCAGTTTGGAAACGGTGGGTTTGGGGATGAAGACGGGGCGCTGGGGGGTTCTGGGAGCCTGGTAGGACCTTTCCGTGGCCACCACCGGGATCTCGGCGCAGATGTTGTAGGTTTCCACGGCGTCGCTCACCTTCTCGCCCTGGATGTGTTTGGGGCCCGCGCAGATCATGGTGCTCTCCTTGTTTCCTTTGAAATTCTTAAGCCAATTAAAGAGGGGGCAAATGCTTCGAGTACATTCCCACATATTCCCGGACAGGGTGATGGAGATGAGCGAGATCCACGTGTTGATGGTCTCCTGGGAGATGTTGGTGAGCTTGTTGGAATCCAGGTTCAGCTTCTGCAGGTTGGGCAGGCACTGGAAGGTGCCGGGCTCTACCCCCGCGATGTCRTTGCCCGATAAATCCAAGTTGTGCAAGGAACTCCAGGTCCACGTCAAGCCCTGGCTGATGGAGCGGATCCTATTCCACTGCAAGTAAATGGAGCGGAGGTTGAAGAGCCGCGGGAAGTGGGCGAAGTTGATCTTAGAAAACTGGTTGTGCTCCAAGTGGAGCTCCGTCAGCTTCAGGAGGCCGGCGAAAGCGTTGCGGGACAAGCTCCGCAGGCGGTTGTAGCCCAGGTCCAGGAAGTCGAGGTTGCGGCAGTCCTGGAAAACGCGGATGGGCACCGTTTTCAGCGAGTTGGACCTCAGGTGCAGGATCAGCAGCTTGCGGAGGCCCTTGAACTGCTCCGCCTGCAGCACCTGCAGCTTGTTGTAGGACAGGTCCAGGTTGCGGAGGTTGGGCACGGGGTGGAAGGTCTTGTTGTGCAGGTGGGTGATCTTGTTGGAGCTCAGGATCAGCTCCTTGAGCCGCCGGATCCCCTGGAAGGCGTCCTCGTCCACGGAGCTGATGTAGTTGTGGTCGAGGTAGAGCCAGATGAGCTGGTTCAGCCCGGCGAACTGGTGGGATTTGAGCTTCTGGATGCTGTTGTAGCGCAGGGACAAGCCCTGCGAGCCGCCCGAGATGTTGTGCGGGATGTCGCGGAAGGCGTGCGACTCGCAGTACACGATCTTGCCATCGCAGCGGCAGCTCTTGGGGCAGGCTCGCTGAGCCCCCGCCGGCAGAGCCAGGGCCAGCAGCCCCAGCAGCAGCAACAGCAGCAGCAGCAGCAGCCCGGAGCCTCCCCCCTGCTTGATTACATGGAAACCTGCAAGATCCAAGAGGGGGAAAAAAAACAAAACAAAAAAAAAAAGGGGCTGTTGGAAAAGCGTGATAGGGGAAATCGGCGGATTATCGCGTCACGGAGGGCTCGGGGGAAGCCGGAGAGGAGCGGAGGCTTTGCGAGGCAACCTGTTCGCCTCCTGCCTCGGCTCTTTGTGGTGCAAATCGCCTCKCTCCGAGCGCTGCCCGGCCATCCCTCCTGCCCCACGGGGTCCCCTGTGTAAGGGGCACCGACAGCCCGGTCCCTCCCGGCCGGGCTCCTGTCCCCCGGCTCTCCCCGAGGAGCTGGGGTGTCCTGATCGCTGCGTGCCGAGGTTTGAATAATAAACATATTTGTCAAGTCACTGTGCTGGATGCTCCATGGTGCTGGAGAGGAAATGAGCCAGAGCTTCTGCTCGTACGTGCTGCTCAACGTGTTCCTCAAGGAAAGCTACTGCAAGTCCAGCTCCCTCCCCGAAAAAATTACCCCAGGAATGGAGAAATCTACTTCTCCTGAAGTTTGATCCATCTTTATAAGGTGTATTTATTGTAAAACGAGGCACTGAGTGAAGGGTTTTACTTTTGGCACGGGTTTAAGAGAAGGTTTAAGGCAAACTCATGGGTTTTATGYGCCTGAACCACAGAAATGGATGCASAGAAACAAAGTTCACCCYTATAGAGGAGTGCACCAGGAATGCTGGTGTGGGACCCCGGTGCCAGATCACAAGAGGAGATAAATCCCTGACAAATGAGCCACTGCCTCAACCCATGTTCATTTAAACTTCTCCATAGGTGGCTGTGAATACCTAAATATTTATTAATTCAGATTAATCCTGTACATAGTGGAAATACCCACCCCAACACCTCCAGACAGCAGCAAACCCCAAAAAGTTCAAAAGGGGGATATTTCTCTTTCAACTCCCCTCTCTCCTGATCGATTTTCAGGGTTTGCCTTTGAGCTGTCAGGCTCGTCACGCAGCAGCAGCGCAGGATGTGAGGACATATGTAATAATTGAATATATAGAATCCTGAATAATCCTGAGAGGGCGTGGAGGGGGTGTCAGAACCCCCAGCACCCATCTGCAYGCCCGGAATTATTTTAGGGCTGCTGCCTCTGACCAGAGTTGCAGCCTGGMTGAGAATGAAAATTCATCCTTCCAACAGGAAATATTTCAAGGGCTGGTATCTCCTTGATAAATAATCACTTTATTATTTGTCACACACACACACACACACAAATCCAACCCAGCGCTGCAGCTCTCGAATCCGATTTTAAACCAAAGGGCAATCTGCAAAAAAGAATTCCTGATCTTGGATGCCCCTGCCTTCCACTTTAAATGGGTAGATTTGTAATTTAAATTCTTTTTTTTTTTTTCTGCTCCGTTCTCTTTGCCAGCAGCAGCCAGCTAGAAATATGTTCTGGCTGTTACAGACTCGGGGGTTGGGGAGGGGGGAAGGAAGGAGGGGAATAAACCTGTCACACTCGGGGGGGGGGGGAAAAAATAGCCCGACTGGCAAATGACTGCTGGAAATGTAGCAGAGGTACCAGGGGCATCTTTTCAGCCTCTTCAAAACCACCTATGCAAGAAACAACTCCCCCCTCCCTCCCCTCCGCTTCCCACATCCTGCAAAGTGCTCACGGCAGCCCGAACGGTGCCGGGGGGGTCGGGAGGCGATGCCGGCGGGGATTTGGGGTGCCGGTGGCGGGCACAGCCGCAGCTCCCGGTGCGAGGGCAGGTGCGGGGGTGGGCGGCTCAGGGGGGGCTCGCTCCGCGCAGCCCCCGGCTCGGGGCACGGATTGCCCGGCGGATCCCGCGGGAAGGCGCTGCGGGAGGAAAGGTGCGTGTTGGTGTGCCCGGAGGGGGGGGACATGGGCTAAAAATACAATGGCAAGTACAGTGAGTCACCTGGCCCAGGGACGCGCTGCTGCTGCCGCTGCCGCTGCTGCCGCCTCCCGGTGCCCCCCCTCCGCCGGCGGATAATCCAGCTGCAAAATCCACCCCACAGCTGCGGCTGTGCCAGCAAACAAACCACAAAAGTTCACTCACCCATCCTTTTGTCATCAATAACGTCCTCCTTCGCCTTCCTCCAGCTGTTTGCTGCTCTCTCTTCCCGTTTGTTTTTTTTTTTTTTTTTTTTTTTTTTTTTTTTTTTCCCCCTCTTCTCTCTCTCTCTCTCTCTCTCTTTTTTTTTTTTTGGAACCGGTTCCTTTCCTTCAAACCGTCAGCATCTTCATGTCACAGCCCGGCTGCCACTCGCCCCGCCGCCATCCAGCGTGCCCGCCAGGAACCCCACAAAGTTCCCCGGAGAGGACCGGCGACAATTTTGGGGATGAGGAAGGGAAAAGGATAGGGAAGGGGTTGGGGGTGGGGAAGACAGGACGAAGGATGGGGGGGAGTGTGGGGGGGTAGGGAGGGACTCTAAGCTCTGAGAGCCATTGTGGAAGTCAGCAGAGAGCCGGCGGCGTTAAGGGGCGATGGGCGAGGGGAAGCCGGAGCGGGCGATGGAGGCGAACCAACTTCTCAGCGAGGAAGGAGCGGAGCTCTGCCGGCGYCTCGCATCCCTCATTCCGCCTCCTTTGGCCATCGCCGGGCACCGCGATCCATCCTCATCCTCCGCCGGCTCCCGGAGCGGGCAGGGCCTCCCGGGCGGTGCCAGAGCCGGGCTCAGCAGCYCCGCAGGCTGGGTTTATCCATGCGGCTGGGCGCGTTTAAAGTGGTTTGTGGCGGTGCGGGGAGGCAGCTCTGCTCTGGTTCCGAGGCTTTCCGGAGAGCGATGATGCTCCGGCGCTCGCCGGTGCCGAGCTCGGAGTTTGTGGAACGCGGAGTGCCCTCCACTGGAGAAAACCCGGCGCGCAGCGGAGGCCGAACAAGTGAGGCTGTCATGGCTCTGCAGACTCCGCTTCCCCTCGGAAAAAAAACAAAATTAAAGCCGCAGCATCGCCTCGCCCGCCGGCCTCCCCTTGYTCCCGGAGCCCTCCGCCTCCCCGGGGTTAGGGAGTACTGGTGGCGTGGGGATTTTCTGGCACAAAGGCCAAACCAAACACCTGCTCCCCCTTGGGATTTGCCAAGCCGGGCTTGTTCTAATCCACCTGACCCGTATATTTGGCTTGGGCAAATTCTAAACTGTTCCTCTCCTTTATTTTTTTTTGTCCTGTATTCCCGGGGGAGGGGATGACAGAAATAGGAATATTTGCAGATGAGAAGTCTCGGTCCAGGGTCGAGGGGCAGGGGCTGTGATCAAATTGATCCTCCCGACAAAAGGCGTTTGTTTGACTGCAGGCAGCAACTCCAAATGTAAACACTCCGTGTCCTGCTGCGGCCGGGACGGGGTTAATTCCCTGCTTTGCCGCCTGGATTTATTTTTCTTTTCTTTTTAAATCTTAAGTGCCTTTTAGTSAGAAAAGCCTTGACTTTGATGAACAAGGCAAAACTGAAGCTGCAGAATCGGTGACACCTTTTTGTTCCTCCTGAGCTCCTCTCCTGTGGCTCGCCCAGGGCCGGAGCTGGGATCCTGCAGGATCCGGGGTGGGATCCAGGGGGGGATCCAGGGTGGGATCCAGGGTGGGATCCAGGGGGGATCCAGGGTGGGATCCAGGGTGGGATCCAGGGTGAGATCCAGGGGGGATCCAGGGTGGGATCCAGGCTGTGACACCTCCACGGGATCTCACCTCTGCTGTACCTGGCCTGTTTTCCAGGGCTGGGTTAATTCCCAGTTCACCAGGACTGATTAATTCCTGGTTCACCAGAGCTGGGTTAAATCCCAGTTTGCCAGGGATGGATTAATTCCCAGTTTTCCAGAGCTGGGTTAATTCCCAGTTCACCGGGGTTGGGTTAATTCCCAGTTCACCAGGGCAGGGTTAATTCCTGGTTCACCAGGGCTGGGATAATTCCCAATTTTCCAGGAATGAGTTAATTCCCAGTTTGCCAAGGCTGGGCTAATTCCCAGTTTGCCAGGGCTGGGTTAATTCCCAGTTTGTCAGGGATGGATTAATTCCCAATTTTTCAGGTATGAGTTAATTCCCAGTTCACCCGGGTTGGATTAATTCCCAGTTTGCCAGGGCTGGGTTACTTCCCAGTTTTCCAGGACTAGGTTAATTCTCAATTTGCCAGGGCTGGGTTAATTCCAGTTTACCAAGGCTGAGTTAATTCCTGGCTCACCAGGGCAGGGTTAATTCCCAGTTCTCCAGGACTGGGTTAATTCCCAGTTTTCCAGGGCTGGGTTAATTCCCAGCCCATTCCCAGGGAGATGCTAGAGGGATGTGGAGCACCAGGAGCTCCCTGAGCTGCTCCTGGGAGTTTCTTGATCCAGGAGCTGCAGGGAATTGGATCCTCAGGGCATCTCCAGGATCTCCCAGGGACCATTTCTGGTTTGGATMATGCTTGGGTTGCTCAGAGGGCAGCACTGGAGTCTTCCTGAACAGCTTTAACAATTCCCAAAACTCAGATATTTGTGCCATTTCCATCCCTCCCTATGCCAAACACACCCATCCGTTATTTGGGGAACAGCTCCCTGACCAAATCCCACTCTGGATGCCAAAATGCTTTATAAAGTCATTCACTGAGCGTTATTTAATTTTTAAATATTTTAAATATTCCCCATTGTGGCCCAGGAAGYGCCTGCTCAGCATTTCACAGTGGGATTTCTGGGGGGGTCTGTGTGCCACTGGTGGCCCCACTCTCAAAAAATGAAAATTGTGCAAATCTCAAGGTCAGATTTTGGCTCTTCCCCCACAATTCCTCATTCCTGGCTCACTGCTCACCCCTGCAATCCATCCCAGACAGAGCCAGCCCAAAGATCCAACCCCTCTGCAGGAAGAGGGAAGAGACTGGGAGGCCAAGAGTTCATCTCCATCCCAAAAAATAAATAATAATCCACAAAACAAGCCATGGAAAGCAACTTGTCCTCCCCTATATCCGCATCCAGGCTGCATCTGCACCCACACTGCATAAATATTCACTTCTGACTAAAAACCCTCCTTTRGTTTGTTCTGTTCTGACAATTTGTCGCTACCTATAGATCAGATGCTCATTTGCATATGAAAAATATCCTCATTAATCACTATTTTGATTCCGGGTCGGACAGCAGYGCTCACAACTCCCTCAAAGAAGATTCAGCGCTGAATTATCATAAACRATGTTGAAAATACCTTTTCCCCCTGTCTGGGTTAACCCCGTCTGCATCACGGCCGGGAGCAGCGGAGCGGGAATTCCGGTTTATTATTCCCAATAAATGTAAAAGATGAAATGTGCAGTTGTTTATTCCACCTCTCACTGATGATTCTCCAGGTCCATTTGGAGCTCTGCCACCTCTGGGGGCGAGCAGAGCCGTGTCCACGGGAACTGCAACAATTTCTTGGGATTTCTTTTCCCATTTTTTTGGATCCTATGAGAGTTGAAGCAGCCCCGAACCTCCAAATTCCCACATTCCTACCAAAAGGTGGACAGAATTTTGCTTCCTTAAAAATCCTAATTTTCCATTCAAAATCACATGGAAAATTAATGGAAAATTTCCAAAATTCCAAGGCAGAAAACTCCAGGAGCTGAGACGAACCCAGGGAGCTTTCACTCAGCAGCACAAATACCACCCCCTCCTTTTTATTTTATTATGAAACACCTTTTTATTTTTTTTAATTTTACATTTTCTGATGAAAT